TAAACAGATAAATGGAGGCAGAAGATGTCTTTCAGTCATCAATGCACACATTCAGCGACACACAGGAGCTCTTTCAAGATGGACACCGTTTCATTCACAACACCTGTCCCATCAACCAGGAATCAGAATCAGAAATACTTTAATAATCCCAGGGAGAAATTACTTTCATTACATGACTCCATCTATAATAGACCAGGTTGATATAATGCAATTTTATACTATATATATAATTAGGGGGTCGCCATCAGTTTGGGGGTCCTTAGATTGGAAATTGTTGTTGACCCCTGCTCTAAGCCTTTCCAAGGTACCAACTAGAAAGGGAACCTCCGCCCCAGCCTCAAGACTTTTATAGCCTCTTTACAGCTTTTCCTACATACTGCCTAATTGTCCTCCGTTTGGCTCCATCCTTCTCCAAACAAACACTGAAAAAGCTTCTCTGCTCAAAAAAACCATTATCCTAATTTTCTACCGCCATAACTTCCATTTCACTGTGGGTAAACTGCTTGGAACACACATGCAACACCCTGTCTTATTTATTTTTTAAAGTGAGACCAACAGAGAGAATAGATTTGTTTGCTCATTAGATTCTGCAGAACCATCTTCTCTGAGGGAAGAATTTGTCATTAATGAAACGTGATAAATTTCACAAACTGCAACGTAAAAATAATCTCAAAACCACAGTACCACGGACTGTAACAGAAGCTGCTCATTTCTCCTAATAGTTGAGTTTAATTTCAGGGGAGCACTGATGCCTGCCCTGCAGATGCTTTTGAAGTTTACTTTTGGGGTGTAGCTCAGTGACCCCACACAGAGTTAAACACCAGGTTCCAGTTGTGGCTGGGTGGGGCGTCAGCTCCTCCAATTTAGGAGCCTCTAATTAAGGCAAACGCAGTTAAATGTCCTCCTGAGATCTGACAAATTTTAATTAAAGAGAGTACATCCTATATTATTATTCAGCCCTTGTACTTGCATGAATTATTCAGAAAAAGGTGTGGATCTACTGTGCAATTTTAGCCATAAAATCAGACAATATAACTTTTTTATATAAACATTCAACTACATAATAATATGTACACTGATCCCTATGGAGTCTGTAGGGAATCTTGTTTCATTTCAACCTAATTTTCATGAATAATCCCACATTAGCTCATGGTTTAAACAGCTGTATCATAGAACATATGGGCCTGTGTTGTTTCTATAGAGTCTAGAGATTGTAGCATCCTACCTCCCTCAGACGGGCCTCCTCGCAGCTCCTCCTGGAGTTACAGCAGCTGCAGCTCTCTGCTCCTCACTCACAGGCTGGACTGAAGCATCAGGAGACGGTGCTGCTGGCTTTCAGCGCATCGCTCCTCCCTGAAGCCACTAGCATCTTCCCCCAGCCTCCCTCCCCTTTAATTCAGATCCTTCCTCCTGTAATCAACATCCTTCCCTGCATCAGCCTCATGTATCAGGGCCGCTCCTGAAAGGTAGCAGCTGTGTGCTATAAAGCCTGCTGGGAAAAGCTGAGCATTTTTATTTAGAACAAAAACCGGAGGAGAGAGAGAATGTTTAAAAGAAAAAACAAAAAGAAAAAAACATAGCCAGAGATAAAGAAATATCAAATTAAAAAATATAGACACAGATTAAACAGTACATTTTTTTAAATATTTTTATTTCTCTTATGTAAGTCAAAAAACAAGTGTTATTTTAAGAATATAATTGACTGTCTAGAATTTTCCTTTCCTAAACAAACGTCAGGTTTTAGATCAGGTGAGCCAATCTTTATGGCAGAGAATTATATCATATAATTTAAGAAATCCCCCTCCCAAAAAAACAAAAATGATATACATACAGCAGGATTCTACGTTATCTACAAAATTAGACCTGTAGTTTAATCACAAATCATTCCGTCATATATAAATGTCCTTAAATTATTAATTTGCATGAGATTTTTTACTAGAGGATGTAATGTTTTATTTCTGAAATCACCATTATCAGCAACAACTTTATTTATAAATAATTTTATCAACAGCCAAAATTGAGACAATTACTTTGCATCAAAAATAACAAAATAAATCCCAGTTTCTTTTTTTTTTAATGGAAATTTGTTAAAAACAAAATAGGGAAAGCCAAATGCAATCCAGAGGTGAAATTTTGTTTTTGCTGTTTTTTTAGATTTAAATGTTTTTCAAACATGTTCTTTTTACAAGTTTTTTTTTTTTTTTTTTTTTTTTTTAAGGCACCCAGTGTGGCAGTCTGTGGGAGTGGGTTTTGAACTCACATTCTCAGGATTCCAAGTGCAATGGCCTAACCACTAAGCCGCCACTCATGCTGTTAAATCATTTATTTATTATAATTTTTTTTAAATAAAGTTTGGTAAATAAAGTTTCGCCTTCACCTGTAAGTTTAGTAAAAAAAAAAAAATGATAACAATAGCTTGAAAAAAAATCTAATTAGGTCTTAAGACATTTATTTGTCTAAAAGGTTTTATAAAGTTTGGCTTCTGGACTGCAATTTTGTTTTGTTTTTATTCCCATTTACAAAATGTTTTCTCTGCTTTCAACAAGAATGGAATGAAATTAACATGCTAACGGCAGTTTTTTTAGCCTCTCTGGAGTTATTTCTTAACATTTAAGGCAAAAAGAAACGATGCTACAGATGTATTATAACTTAAACCCCCCAACATGCTGCTACCTCTGTTTCATCACTGGATTAGACTTCTGGATGCTTAAATGCGCAAAGTCTTTCTAAACTATAGAAATATGACACAAGATTAACTGTATCCGAATCCTGATGAGTATATCTGCATTTTCAGTTTGAGCGGTTGGAATAGCATATCTAAAACAGGAAGTTTGTCTGACTAGATGCTTCCTTTAATTTAATCTGAAGATATTATTATTTTTCTAAAACTTCATATAGAATTACTTCTTTTCTAATAAAAATAAAGTCTGTACGCTACAATATATGCTATATATTCTGACGCCTTTCAATCAGAACCAGCATTAAGTCCTTCATCAGTTACATTAGCTTGTCTGTTACACTGGACCACAGGGGCCAGCCTTATCACACCTCCTGCATCTTTGAGTCTGCCCGTTACCCTAACGGTAGTTTACAACTCTTCCTTCCTCTTTTGATAGATAACAACCTATGCCCTAATCCATTCCTACTTGCTTTTCTTGCTTTCACCACATTACCTTGGTGGACCCAGTGCAAACTTCATGCATGTAAATCATTGATGGTTCTAGACCCATTTACCAGGTGGGTGAGGGTAGGGCCAGCCTTTTATTCACGGGGCACATTACAAATACACGACACAAACAACCATGGCAATAGTTCATCATTTGTTAAAGGAAGTGAGATACAGAACCAAAGAACCATTTACGGCTCTGGACTAACCACATATAGCAAATAACAAGTAGAGGTGCATCAATTTATTGGCCCTGATTTCCTTTATTTTGGAAGATCCGAGGTAGATGTTAAAGCAATTTTATGATCTTATCTCTACAAAGGTCTTTACAAAAAGCCACTTTCAATACTCTAAACTTTGTTTAGATTTAAGTTATCAATCTTTTAGTTGTTTTAAAGGTATTGTTCTTTTTAATTGAACAAGACAAGCTAGAAACATTCAAGGTTTATTGTGAACTTACAATCAAAATAGGCATGACAAGCTTTGACAAGTGCAAAAGTCTCTTCATTTTTTAAAATCATTGTTAAAATAAAATATTAAATGAACAAAAAAAAAAAAAGAAGCTTAAGACACCAATTAATGACACTTTCTGTGCTAACGCAGCTAATCATAAGAAATGTATTCAGTATTATGTCTTAAGTGCAGGAGCCGAGTTCAGATCTATAGAGGCACTGGCCCCTACTGGTTCCTGTCTGGGTGGTTGGGATTTACTTGATCCACACAGGAGCCAGCAGGGGCCAGTGCCTCTTTGATCTGAGCATGACCCCTAAACTTAAGACATATAAACCACCACTGATCAGTGTTCTTTACTTTAGTGGTCGTACTGTTATGCCTGGTATCTATATTACCGATAAAAATATAGCAGAACCTCATCAAAAAATAAAAAATCCAAGGTAACCTTTTGAAAATCCTTTTTATGCTTCCCTGCTTAATGACTAAACATCCTCCCAGCCCCCTCCGGCTTCCACTTCTTCACCAGCATCATCTGTTGCTGCTACTGTAGACCTGCAGATGGCACCACTGCTGCTTCAACCACGTCAGCCTCATCAACCCAGGAGGCTACCACCACAGCATCGTCATCATCATCCTCTTCCTCCCCTGAGCCAGGAGAAGTAAGTGCTTCAGTCATTCCATAACTAGATATAGTGACTTAATATCAAACTGTTGTTTTGTTTTTTGTTTTTTTTTGTTTTTTATCACTGCTGCTTACCTTATAAAAGCTTCACTTTAAAACATCAAAATGTTTAGGGAGCTGTTCTAAACGAAAAAAAATTTAGTTTACTCTTGTGTATACAAAATGACAAAATAAATCAGTCACTAAGTCTAAGTCTATAAAAAGGAGGTCCTCATCAGTGGGTCCACAGCCCCTGGGGGGCATTCACAGCACCTGTCCCATCAACCAGGAATCAGATTCAGAAATATTTTAATGATCCCAGGGACAAATAACTTTTGTTATATTACTCCTATATATATAATAGAGTGACTATAGGACCAGTTGTTATAACACAATTTCAGAAGATATATATAATTAGGGGATCAGTTTGGGGGTCCTTGGCCTAGAAAACGTTGAAAAACCCGGCTTTAAAAGGTAATTAGGTGAGTGCTCTGATTATATGTTATTACGGCTTGCCCTACAAAGGCAAAGTTCTCTGAACTTACCGTAGAACGCGGCGGAAATGCGTCACTTTCCCCACATCTGACGTGGCTGCCGAGGGGTCTACCCGGTTGAAGAAAAATTTCCTCTGGCCTGAGTTGCTCCATTCAATGGAAAAACCCGCCTCCTGCAGTAAGGTTTACCTGTAGACAAAGTGCCAGTGCCGCTGCTCGCCCTGTTTGGGATTGAAACACCTGAACGGTTCAGTTAGCTGCTGACTTCTGATCGGTCATGGAGACTCATGGAAACTCGAACAAGAAGCAGAAGCGGAGCAACACCATTGAGAACTGGGTGAGTTCCCGGTTTTCACAACTATATTAAACAATATCTTTTATTTTATTGTTGTTGTCAGCATTATAGTGTTCGAAAACCACATTTGAACAAGCTAATAGGCTAAGTTAGCATCGTTACCGTTGCTACATGCTAAAGCTACAGGTTAGCTGTTAAACATTAGCCTCTGCTGCAAAATGCTTTTATGCATTTACTTCTGTTGATGGTGGAAAAAGTGTCTTAGTACGGATTGAAATTGCGAAAAGAAAAAAAAAATGGGTTGAAAACATAAAAAAAGAGCATTAGATAATATAAACAGGGATGTTACTGAAAACCTCATTGAAGCTCAGGCCAGCAGTTCTACAGCACAGCATTTTTAATCTGTTTGTAGTGAGAGATGGTTTTGGTTAGTCTATAAAGCCCTAACTGATATTGACAGTGTGCTCATTAGTTTATCTTTGGCTCATCTGATTTTAGAAACTGATACAAAAACAAACAAGAGGCTGTTTTATTCTTATTTTAAAATATATAAATTGAGTATAAGATATCAATTAAATTCAGTTTATTTCTATAGCACCAATTCACAACACATGTCATCTCAAGGCACTTAACAGTTCACCAGATCATCCAGTCAGATTGATTCAAAATTTTCTATCTAAGGAAAACCAGTTGATTGCATCGACTCATTGAGTCGAAAGCAATCCCTCACACTAAGCATGCTTGAAGCGACAGTGGAGAGGAAAAACTCCCTTTTAACAGGAAGAAACCTCCAGCAGAACCAGGCTCAGTGTGATCGGCCATCTGCTGAGGCTGACTGGGGTTCAAGGAGACAGAAGCAGAGATACAAAAAGCAGCTGTAAAAGTGGACCCAGGTCAAAAGGAATGAGTGACATTTTGGCTACATTCACTACATACACTACAGTCTGAAGTGACCCAAATCTGATTTTTTTTTTTTTTTTTT